GTCGATCGCAGTGGGGGTAAAATTAAAGTTGGTGTCAAAACCAATTTTATTAATTTGTGTACAGCTGCCAAGATCTGCATGTTTTAATATATTAGACCTCAACAGTGAAGTTACGAGAAAGAAGTATGCAGAAAAGCCTGCCATTTGGTGCCACAAGAGTACAATAACTTTTTATGTTCTTTCACTTAGACATAGTATAAAAAAGCACACACACAAACAAACAAACACACAAACACACACACACACACACACACATACAAACACACACACACACACACACTCACACACACATACACACACTCTCCCCCCTCCCAAACACACACACACACATACACACACATACACACACACACATATATCTCGACTGTTCCGTGTAAGGCTCCGTCCTTCGTCACTTTTCAAAATGGCGTACGGCGGTGTTTTACACAAAGTAGTCGTTAAACAAACACACAATCATACACCCACACACGCTCGCATACTCGCTCATACCTCCCACGCTTATGTTTACATACGTTGCTACCCTTGAATTACGAAGTTCTATCAGCTCAGTTTAACAGTTTTGAGAAATTTGACGTCATCACATTAGAGTTTCGCAACGCTTCAAGCTTTTTCGAAAGCAGTGATTCATAACGGGGATATTCTTTGAATATTTTCTTGATAGCGACTCCATTAATTTTACGTTATTGATAGAGAAGACTGAACATTTGGGATCTGACCTCATAGTCCTTTTCACTAAAAAAAAGCGAAATATGTCTAATAGAACTTTACAATTCTAAGACGTTCTGATCAGTACACACTTTCACAGAGGAAAAGGCGAACAGATGGCAACTTTCACAGCTCAAAAGCCTACATACTGAAATGAAATTGATCTATCAAAGACTTACACATACGCACTGACTGATACAAAGGTAACCACGCAAAAAAGTTAAGGAATACAAACAGTAACTAGCGTGCATGCACAGAAACGCACTGATACCCACATGCACGCACTAAACACAGAGGAAAAAAACACACACTCACTCACACACATACACATTTTATTTTTACATGTAAGTATAGCTATATACATAATATATTATATATAACGAATATTAATAACGTACACATTTTATATACACATTACAGTTTACATACACACACACATACATACATACATACATACATACATACATACATACATACATACATACATACATTTGTTTTGATATAATAACTTTATAGTATAAGATAAACATTGACCTCAAGGCAGAAAGAAGAAACGAATGACGTCTCGTGAGCATCAGAATAGAAATGACAGGCATGATGTCGCTGAAGAGCACAGATACATTCCACAGTAAGGCTTCTTGGAGCTTCACCCGCGTCTGGCATTTTTGTCATGTTTTTGGGAAATGCTCTGTCGCTCGACAAGATGCAGACAGCTATGAACCGGACTCTCATAAAATAGGTCAAGTTTGAGCACAATAAGGGAAAGGGTTTTGGTGAAAACATCCGCTAGTTCAGGGGCTTTAAATGACGACCACCAGATTCTTATGAGTTTCAAAATGACATACCCACCCTCTTTCTGTTGAGTCGTTATTAGAGCAAAACCAAGAAACATTTCTAGGCTATTTTGTCTGCTTCTTAAACGACATAAATTATGTGGGCTGGGGTAGAGCTCATTTATTGAAAGATATGGTCACATAGGTCAACATTCTTTCTTTGTTTGTGACGAGGATCGTAAACAACCGCTGTGAGAAAATGCTTCATGGCCGATCACTTTTGGGCCCGTCTTGAATTTGTAAAAGCAAAGTGCAAAAATGTTGAACGTGTGTATGATGTGCCTTTCCAATAAATGATCCCCAAACGACACTTCAGTGACAGTTCTTGATCTCCGAAAAGGTCGTCCTATTCTCGGCACGCACACACCAATGGTGAAGGTTCTCCCGCTGTGTTAAGTCCTAATATCCGAAGAGTTGCCAATTATTCCTTGGATAATAGAATTCACGAAAACTGACGCCTTCATCATGGTCGACATCTCGAGGTTGCAGGCCACAAACCCAGCGATACAGAGGGCGATGCTGTCGGAAGAAAATCTCCAAAGAATCTGCAATCCTTAAAAAAATAAAACAGTTTTTGCTTATTCTGTGCATTTTCTCTTTTGTAACACGATTTATCCTGTGCCGTCACTTGATCATAACCCAATTTCACAACATGACGTATGTATCACTGGCTTTATAATGTGCCATGCTTTTTATCGGCCACATGTGCTTTGTCCATTAATGCACTGTTATCGTGTGACCACAACATTTTTTATTAAGAAGGGCAAGTACCGACGTCTCTTTAATATCTGTGAGTGTCTGAGCGCTTAAACGAGTGCTTGCACGGTATGTTTTCAAGAAAAACGAGAATGTATTTGAATCTTCTAGGGTTACATCAACATTGCATTTCTCGCCCTGGATATAGGCAACGAACAAACACATTCGCTTTTCCCTATCCTCGGCTAGCTGTTTGAAGTTATTCCAAGTCTTCCCACTTTTCAGTACATCAAATTCTGAGACTCTTCTCCAGCTTCCACGTGGTCTTCCCCTGGATCTTTCACCTGTTACTAGGGTAATAATATATGTAATGTGCATAGAGCACGCCAATGTATGAATGCACATATCATTATTATGGCGTAATGTATTCGCCAATAAGGTGTGACCACCGCCATTTTCACTTTGTGGGTAATTCATTTGTCTCAGGTGATCTTTTTGTGATAAGTCACATGACAAGTCACTGGCATCAGTTTGCGAATGTCTCTTCATTTTACACTGGTGCACATAGAAAGGCCTGTGTCACCGAAGACGTTTCTTGCCTTTGTCCGATCATGTTGTCTTGAAACATGTTGAAGAGGTACCAATGTCACATGACCATGGTCTCTTTCATCACGTGAGTTATGTACCGGAAGAGATCTGCCCATGCTTGTTCCACTTCCGGGGTCCATTTGTCTCCCAGAGCTGGCTGTATGGCGTTGTTGAACTGTGGGCCAACCAACTGAGAAAGCAGAAAAAAATCATTGTTAGATTTCAGACACTGACTGTGTTCGTATCTTAATAATAATTCATTTGGAAATTAGTCAAATGAGAGCCACCTTATTGTTTCATAAATTCAGGAAATGGCATCGCAAGACATTGTCTTTTTGGAGCCAGAAGGGTAGATTATGATATCTAAAAAATTAATGATCAACAGGCCATAT